CGCATTAAAACACTTGAAGGATGGATCGGTAATTAGGGCAAGTGCTGTTCTGGGGAGGAATCCGTCCTTTCCTGAGTTAAGAAATGAAAGTTGTGACACAACTGTTGAACAGGAATACTTGATGATGAAGGGACAAATCTTAAGGTGAAAAATCAAAGCAAAGTGGAGGACCACAGGACATTACTGCTGTGTCAAAATCATGAGGATAAATTCTGTATGGGCAGAGAGGGTCGAAGAGAGGGATGGGGCAGCGGTGAAACAAGGGGCTGTAAGATAAGTTGTGTGTTTCAGAGGCTGTCTCCATATCAATAAATGATCAGGGTAATGGGATCTGCTTTTCTACAGTCCCTTGCTCCTGAGGAGGCACAGCGTCCTCCCCACAGGCGTGTCTGGCATGTGGTTTCAGGTTCTGCCCCTACAGGAGTGGCTGGAGAGGGAAACTGTTCCTCGTTGGTTCAGCCGTTACCTGCATGGCTGGTTGTGCACAGGAGGAAGGAGATGTTGGTTGCAAACCCCTGTTGCTTCTCTCTGCAAGGGCAGTTAATCATCCAACTCTGTGCTAAGCAGAATTATCAAGCAAACATGATTTCACTCTTTTCCCTGCAGTTATCAGTGGCTCTCTGAGTACCACCATCTCTCAGCTATGCTCAGGCAAGTTCCTCTAAACAAGGATGCTTCATATCTTAGCCTGGTTAATTTACAGTGTTGATTTATAGTGGTATCAGCTGCTCTGGCTGCCTTTGCACTGAAGTGGGTGAGCACATACACAATCCTGCAATTGATGCTCTGTCTGCGCATGAGGATGGTAGCATTATAAGGTATTTCAGCTCTGCTCCAGCTCTTTGTTCATACCCCAGGGGTTTCTGGTAGGTATTTGCTTCAGAACTCAGCTGTATTTGTTCAGCCTAAGGTGTTAATTTTAAATATAATTTCAGAGTGTGCTCTGAATGTACACGCCTTGAGAGTGCAGGGCATGGAGGTAAAGTTTGCAGCTCTAAAACTTTTCTATTGCTAGCCAAAGCTACTGTCATTGCTAGATGATGGTGTGCATGAATGATCTCTGTTGAAGGGGAAATACAGACCAACCTGCTGTGACCATTAAGTGAGTCCTTTCTATCTCCTACTGTCCTTGTGCAGATGCTTTTAGTTTCCTGTCTTTGCTGGACTAATTGGAAGTTCAGCTTTCTTACACAGTGAGAAACCTCAGCATTTTGGGTGAGGAAGCGTGGAAAGCAAAGGAGAGGTCTTCTACAAAGCCTGGATGGCTGGCTGCTGCTGGCTGTGCTCCCCACTTGCTGCCTGCATGAGCATAAACGCATCAAGAAGTATTTTGAATGAGCTATAATTTGTATGTATATTTAGAAACCTGTGACTGCTCCCTCCTGCAGTATCGCCAGTAAGCGACTGTCATCTTAAAACTTTGACTTCCTTCAGCTCACGTGAGTTAAAGTGCTTGAAGGCAGCACAGGAAACCCTCTTGGTAAGCTGTGGGCAGGCAGTGTGTGCAGGGGGAAGGCAGTGCAGCATGGCTGGAAATGCAAGCAAAAAGCTCAGCAATCAGAAGAGGAGCTGCACTCCTCCTCTGTTGCATCCATTAAATATTGCTTTAGAACCACATCTTTTGTAGATTTGATGATGAACTCTGCAGAGCTGCAAGCGTTCCCAATGCTGCTGGAGGTTTATGGTCTCTTCAGCATGTGTTGTCTCTGCCCAGTGGCTGGGGCTTTTTGTCACGCTGCTCACAAAACTGAACTCTTGTTTGCAGACCATTTTACAAACAGGGAACCAGCATTAATTTCACTTGCTGGGATGCCTGACTGCAGACATCCATTTCAAAACTCTTCTGGTGTTGTACTTGCACACTGATCTACCTGGTGGGTCCTGATTAGCAGCAGGTGATGGCAAGGTATATAATTTAAAGGGCATTTGTGTTGGTGATGAGCAGCCTGAGTTACACCATCTCTTTGAACTGTGCAGCATAGAATCACGGAATGGTTTGGGCTGGAGGGAGTCTTAAAGCTGATGCAGTTCCAACCTGCTGCCATGCGCAGGTACACCTTCCACTACATCTGGTGGTCTTGTCTGGGCTCGCTCCAACATTTTCACATCCTTCTTATGTTGGGGGGCCACAGAGCTGGACACAGGACTGTGGGTACTGCAGTCCTCATTATCCTGTGCTCCTTGCTGCTGAAGTATAGGATGGACCATATCTTGTTCTTTCCAGCTCTGGACATCCCCAGGGAGACTCTCTCACCCATCCTTGCCTTGCCAAAGGGCAGTGTGCCTGCTGTGTACCATCTGAGGTGCTACAGGGAGAGCTGTAGCAGAGAAAAAGTCCATGGCTGAAGTCATTATGGGGCTTATTGCATGAAGTTGCGTTTGCTTGTGGTGTGCTCAATTTTTCTAGGAATATGGTCAAGACTTTAGAAAATATTTGAGTGGCAAAGGAGAATAAACTGGAATTTAGGCAAGCTCTAGAAAAGTGGTAGGATTTCAGTATCAAAATTATTTCAGCATACAGGGAAAAGAAGGATTTTCAGGCTTGCAGTGTGAAAAACAGCCATGGCTCGATGTATTTCTGCTAAATATCTCTTTAGGATTTCTGAACCTGCTTATCACCCTCCTAGGTAAAACTCTAGCAAGAATGAGGGGAATGCAGGCTGTACGTGCATGCATTAAAAGTAGGAAGATATGAAAGGAATGAGAAGGGACTTCGAGTGCAGGAAGGCACTTCCCACAGCTTTGAATAATGTGTGGACTGAAGGGTGTCTAAAAATTACCCAGAGCTAAGCTGACACCACAAAGTTACAGCAGGCTGTGTGTGCTCTTCCCCAGCCAAGCTCATGGTCTTTATTGAACAAAAATATCTGTGCAAGTGTCACAAGGTTAATATGGAGTTAAAAATAAAACTAAAATTGCAAACAGGGAGTTAAAACTGTACTGAATCTTTGGTTTAGGAATGATGATTATCTTTTATTTCCTTTCTGAAAGGACAGGACCATTTTTATTGCCCTTTGATCAGGAACTGAACCTGAACAACTCCAGTCACTGATGAGCCTGAAACAGAGCTATTTCCGGGATCGCCTCCCTGTTTGCATGTAATCTAATTTTTAACCCAGGTTGCAGAATGGACTTTTAAAGTTCGTGTAGTCAAGATACACATGGTAAGCAAGCTGTTCACTAGAGAAACCATTCTGGTCCTTTCAGAGGTTAGGAATAAGTTTAGCTGGCAAATAAATTCGGTATCCTGAAATTGGTGTTAGTTATCTGAACTCCCCAGTGAAGCTTTTGAAACAAAAAGTAACTAATCAAAGTCATTTCAGAGCTGAAAGTGATGTTGGTTGTGTTCTAGTCAAACCCAGTTTTTCAAAGCAAGATGTGAACGTATTTCAGGGTTGAAAAAAAGACTTTGAACAGGCTGACCTACAGGGCTTCATCTCTGAACTGGGTACAAAGCACCAGTAACCTTTGCAGTGTGATAGAAGGATGTTTCTTGAAAATAGTTTCTGTGGTGTCTGAGCTGTTCCTGTTGAAAGGTAGATGAATACTGGTGAAGCAGCCCCTGTGCATTTGCGATGATGTGAATCATAGCCAGACACTACAAATGCTGTGTATTTATTACCTGTTAAACTGGGTAATACTTCTCCTGGAACTGGTCATGTTCAAGGAAATAAAGACTTCATCTACTGTCTGCTAGAGCTGCCACATTTTGCTTTTTATTTGTGGGTTGCCCCAGGAAGCTGTGGCTGCCCCATCCCTGGCAGTGTTCAAGGCCAGGCTGGACAGAGCTTGGAGCAACCTGGTCTAGTGGAAGGTGTCCCTACCTGTGGCGGGGGGTTGGAAATGGATGAGCTTTAAGGTCCCTTCCAACCCAAGCCATTCTGTGATGCTATGATTCTATGACTGGCAAATCAGAAAAGCAACACTTTCCAAGGAAGTTGTTCATTCATTGCATTTGCTATAGTGATATACACTTCAAAATAAGGGCAGATGTGTTTGCTGTGGACTATACTTTTTTCAGTGTCTGGATGAAATTACTTAATCTGTGTGAAAACCAAAGAACCCCCTTTCCAGCGCATTATTATTAATGTTTGATATCTGTGCCTGTTTGGATAATGGATATAATTGGTAACTTAACTAGTAAGGCATTAGTACCAGTGTCTGGGTGATGCAAAATGAGCCTTTTTACAATACTGTAGCACTGTATTAAAGACAAATTTGATTTGTGTTACCACACAGTGTCTCTGGAGCCGAAATTAGACCCTTTGTTGTGCTGATCACTGTTTAATTACTGCTGCCTTGTTTTGCAACCTGTTAAAATGTCCAAAATGATTACTTAGGAGAAAAAAAAGGGACCTGTGCGAAGCCTCCTGATATGTGCCTTTGTAGGTGATGGGCTGCATTGCCAGCCAGCCAAACATGGGCTTGCTCACTTCCTCAACTTGTATTACCTCTTCTGTCTTCCCTTTAACCAGTGCAATAATATCCATTCTTTCTTCTGGATCCAGAAATGTGGGGTTTAACTTCAGGTCCCTGCCACAGTGGCTCAGTAAGGTGTCTTAGCTGCCAGCAGTTCTCCATTTTGCTCAGTGCCCTGATCTCCTTTTCCTCTGCTGCTAATGTGAGGTGGTAATTCAGACATGCAATGAGGTTTCTGAACCTTGTTATTGATTGCAACTTGCTGTTTGCTCTCTGAATTGATGCAGTTACCGGTAATAAGGGGGATATCAGCACTGAGTGGTGTGATTGCCTCTGAGAGGAAAATTAAATTTGCCATGCTGCCGGTTCTTATATTTGTTTATCGTGCTCTCTGTACAGGCAGAATACTAAAGGGAGAAAAAGGAAAACAGGCTTAATTTTAAAGGTGTTGTAATTGAAAAGTAATTTCAAAGCACAACTTGCTGTTTGCCTTGTGCCCTGCGGGAGGGTTTCGGGGCTGCCGTTTGCTTTCCATCATTTCCAGAGAGGCCAGGGCCTAACAGATCAACTTCTCCTTTCAGAATAAGGACAGCGGTGAATGTGAGAACAAGCGTCCTAGAGAAGATGAAGAAGAGGAGACTGTCAAGCACAAGTAATTATTTATTTATTCCCACTTGTCTCTCTTGTATGTGTAGTTCAGACACTGCTGTCGTTGGCTAATTAGGATCTTTCCTTGGCTTCTAACACGTGATTTAGTTTTGTTTTTAAGTGTCAGTTTGATCTCATGCTCATGAAAATGATCTGAAATGGGGGCATAAAGGGGAAAAGCCTGTGGCTGACCTACAATGTTCTTGGGGGTAGCAAGGGAAGGTGTTACCATCAGAGGTGTCTGGAGCATTTAGGCTGCCTTGGATTTGCCATCCATTGCTGTACCTCTGACCCCTGCACATGTGTTGTTTGAAGTGTGGAGGTTATTATTTTCCATGAACAGCGGCCCACAGGGTACACGTGGCTGTTTAACTGTGGCCCACTGCTGTTCTGTCTTGTCACCGGAAAACGTGAACACAAAACTTAACGGAGCACAGTGTGGCTCCTGGCACGACCAGCTGACTGTGCAGTTGGTTTCCTGCCGGTAAAAATGCCATCAGGTCTCCTTTGGAGACGATGAGGGGGTAGTTTGGTTTGAAGATGTGGGACATGACCTTTTCTCATTGTTTTACTGCTAGAAACCTCCTCTGTGGGATGTGTGCTGTAGAGATGATGCTGCGGATGAGCACATGTGAGAAAGCAGTGCAAAATTCTTGCTGCTTCTGGGGAATAACTGCGTGAAAAAGATTGTGGCCAACAGGCTGAGGGAGCAGGTTCCTCTGCTCCGCTGTCATGAGGCTCCCCTTGCAGGCCTGTGTCTGGCTGTGGGGCCACCAGCGTAAGAAGGATGTGGAGGTGTTGCAGTGAGTCCAGAGGAGGCCACAAAAATGCTCCAAGGGCTGGAGCACTTCTCCTATGGAGATAGTCTGAGAGAGCTGGGCTTTTTCAGCCTGGAGAAGAGAAGGCTCTGGGTAGACCTTAGAGCAGCTTCGAGTGCCTAAAGGAGCTGACAAGAAAGCTGGAGAGGGCCTTTTGACAAGGGCAGGTATGGACTGGACAAGGGGGAATGGCTTTAAACTGACAGAGGGGAGATTGAGATGGGATCTGAGGAAGAAGTTCTTCCCTGTGAGGGTGGTGAGGCCTTGGCACAGGTTGGCCAAAGAAGCTGTGGCTGCCCCATCCCTGGCAGTGTTCAAGGCCAGGTTGGACACAGGGGCTTGAAGGAGCCTGGTCTAGTGGAAGGTGTCCCTGCCTGTGGTAGGGGGTTGGAACTGGATGAGCTTTAAGGTTCCTTCCCACCCTGACCATTTTTGGGTTATATGATATCTCCTGGCAGAAAATACATCCTTTATAACAGTCCACGTGGGTTTGGTGCTGGGAGTGCTTCTTGAGTGTCATCACTGAGACTGAACTTGGTTTGTAGGTTTGGGTTTTGTGTCAGAAGAGGCATGAGGTCTGGGCTGAAGCTGAAACAGGAGCTTCATCAAGGGAATAATGATGAATAATGAATAAACAGCTCTTGCTTTCCAGTCCTGCCACTTGATACACTGTGTGGTGAGGTGATGCAGCATGTGGTGGCCCACTGGCAAGATGCATCAGGCCTGGGCTGTCTTTACCACTGTGTAAGCTGGCATCATTAGGCTAACAGCAGTGCATTGCTGCTCTGAAACTGAAATTATGAATTGGTCCTCTAAATCTATGAAAATAATTTGGTTTTCTATTGTGACTGACTTCCAGGCTGGGGATTGATACTTTTTATCTACTACTGGAGCATATCGGAGGTGATGTGGTTTCTTACTGAGTCTTCAGCGTCACTGCTGTCAAGTTGGTAAATCACTTTTTCCATGAGCACTTGTTCATGAGCTCTCATCTTATGGCAGGTTCAGTAAAAAGCCTTCCCCTGCCTGAGGGTAATGCCCTTGAAATTTCACCAAGGTGGAATGTAAAGAACAGAGGTGGTGAGTAGGAGCTCCCATCTCCAGCCAGCTCTGTACTGGTGCATGAAACTCCCCACAGGTGTGGGCCAGGGCTTCTCTTGAAACATGTGGGAGTGGTGCCTTTGGGAGGCAGCTTTTGGGGCGAAAAGTCTGCTTTCCAGGTTGATTTTCCTGGAGGAGTCAGTATCTTTGTCCATCTATCCAACTACAGCATGTTCTGTTGGGATCCAAGCGTAACTTTGCAAGGCAAATTAGAGCAAGATCTGCTCTGCAGGAAATGTTTGAATCACAAATTTGGCTGAGATGATTCTTGGCTTTTGCCGTACTTGTTGCATGTCCTTTTTCTGTTGCCGGAATCGGATCTGTGTTAAGATCTAGAAAGCTGGTGAGCTGATAATATTTTTATTTCCCAATAGTGTATATGAACTTTCTGAGCCCTTTGAAAAAGGGAACTGCTTTGCCCTAATGTCCTGTTTGCTGGTGGCAGGTGAGCAGGGATAATCTGCTGGCATTTACCCTGGATCTGGGAAAGGAGGGGTCCCTGGTAAATGAAATCTGCCTTCCCTGTAAACCACTTGCACCTAAACAAGCACCTCAATAGCTGTGCTGCTTTCTCAAGCTAAAAACCACCACGAGCACCACGTGGGGAGGGGAAATCTAGTGGTTCAATAAATAATCCTGTGGCCTGTGTGCAGGATTTAGGTGCACTGCCTGCCCTGAGAGGCAAACAGCAGCCTGGGGCTTTTGCTGCAGGCTGGTTCCTCTTGCATCCCTGCAGCTGCACCTTCTGCACCAGCCTGAGACCATCCTTTATTCCCTATACAAAGGACAGAACTGCTGGGCGCTGCGTTAACTAATACTTTCCTCTGCCTATGGGGCGACACGCTTTTTGGCAGCTTCCTGTTTTGTTTTCTGATTGACTCAAATATCCCCATCCCCCTCACCCCCTTTTTTCTTTTCTCTTTTTTCTTCCTTGTTTTTATCTTTCACTGCAAGCCACCACCACAGGAACAAGTGCTGACGAAGCCCCTTGCGAAAACCTCGCAGCAGTTTCAGCTTGGGCTATCTCTGATCTGAGCTCTCAGGGGAGTTTGTATCTTTGTAATTGCGAAGAGCTGGGGTTATTTATGTTTTTGTAACCAGTTTTGCTTTAGCCCACTGACCAGGAAACACCTTCCGCTGCGGCGCAGCCTGCGATCTGCCTTTGTAAGGAACAGGGTGTGGGTGGACTTCGGCCCTTCCGCCCCATTCCCACAGGGAAAAGCAGTCTGGGACATGGGGATCGGCAAGGCGAGCTCTGCGTAAAGCCAAGGCTGGCATTGCTGCCCCATAGGGAGCAGAGAGGTGTTGGGCTGTAGTTATGCAAGCAGACTCATCAGGGATGTTAAAAGTGTAAATAAAAATCCAAGGTAGGGCTTGGAGAGGAAGGCCACACACACACACACACACGACAATCTTCAACTCTTCAATTTAACTAGAAATTAAGCTTCAGTGAGCTGCTGCTAATCAGCTGCCCGTGTTTCGACACTTAGTCATCCTGTGAAATTACAGCTCTGTACTGTGCCGCTTGCAGAGATGAATTTCTGGGAGGAGCTGGGGGAGGCAGGGTTGGGAAACGAGATCTCTCCCCTCTCATGGGAAGAATGTCACGGGGCAGGTCAAACCCACTTTATTTTCTCTGCACAAAAGAAAATACAGTGGTGAGTCTCCTCAGTGTTTGCTTTAGCTTGGCTGGATGGCCAAGGCAGTGGCAGAGATTGCTGTGTGGACGTGCTTCCTCACATCCTGGAGCGTGGAGAGCTTAATGAAGAGTTTAACAATAATAAATAGAATGAAATCAAATACCGGAGACATCAGTGTTTGCAGGTAGGCTGGGTTTGGTACATGTGGCATATCTGATCAACATCTGCATGGACAGCTGAACCTGTTACCGCTAGTGGTGTGTCCTGATGGACACTGCAGTGTGTCAGGCTCCATCCCCACTGTGCATCTCCAGGGACCATCTGGACCGTGTTTGTTCCCTTTGCTGAGGAAGTGCTTCGCCCATAGAAGAGGAGGTGGGCATGGGCAAGGCTGTGTAGCATTGTATCTTTTGCTCAGTGCTGGAGAAGGGGGGGGACAGGAGTTTAGATGGCTGAATTCACCTGGCTGCAGAGACACGGGAGCTGGCAGGATCTTAGCTCCATCCTGAAGGTGCTTGTCCACGTTTTGATGCAGCACAGAGCCCTTCTCCAGAGCAGTAAGGATGCTGTGGACCTTCCCTCTCATTACATCTGTATCTGTAACTCTGGGGGAGATATCCAGAACATGATTTGCTTTTGTAGGGAAAGCCCCATGGAGCTTCAGCTGGTCCAAAGCCTGGCTGCACTCTCCTCACCGAGGCTGTTGCTGTGTTCCATGAGTGCCTGATGATTCTGCCTTTGCCTTGGACAGGTTGGGTGTCCCTCTACCTGTTCCCTAGCAACAGCGTGCAAGTGTGAGCACCCAAAGGTGAAACCTTGGCCCTTCCCACCCAACAACTGGCTCTGAGTTCCCAACATCTTCCCAGCAGTCCACTCTTCTTCAGTAGTAGAAACCCTGTAAAAGAGCATGGGCAAAGTATGCTCTTGTGCCAGCATGCGAAGGAGCATAGCTGGGTGCTGCAGGCACTTTGCATATAGAATCATAGAATTGTTTAGGTTGGAAAAGATCTTCAAGATCATTGAGTCCAACCATTAACCAGACACTGCAAAGTCCACCACTAAACCATGTTCCCAAGCGCCACATCTACAAGTCTTAAATTCCTCTGAGGGTGGTGATTCCACCACCTCCCTGGGCAGCCTCTTCCAATGCTTGACAACCTTTTCAGTGAAGAAATTTTCCTTACATCCAATCTAAACCTCCCCTGGCACAACTTGAAGCCATTTCCTCTCATCCTACAGCCAGATCCTGGTGCTGTGTCGCCAGCCTGGGTCCCACGCTGCAGATCAAGTATGGGTTTTGTCCTGATAGTGTTTACTGGTTGTAAAGCAGGCACAAGTTGTTTGTTTGCTTTGAATGTGCTCAGCTGCCTGGAAAAGCAGCATAGGAGGCCTGACAGCCTTGTGGCGCCTGCCTGCACCTGAAGAGCTTCCTTTGCAGCAGCACT